CTCCGCACTGAAACCACTGAAGTAATCTTCTTCAGTGTCGGAGTTGAACAGCCTCAGAAGAGCTTCGTCACATACCTTTTCTGTGGCGATGTCAGTGTCACTCTCCGTGTTGCTGTCATCATCCCGGGGTGAAGCTGGGAAAACAAACAGCGCCGTTTTACTGCGAAAAAAATCCTCCTGGGCGCTTTCCGTAGTTCTCCTTTAACCATTCCTTCACTAGACTTTCCAGCATCCATCCTTTCTGGTTGACTAAAGCCGCACCTCATTATAAGCTGCATGGTTCAAAGCGTGGGAAAAAGTAGCGGCTTATACTCCGGAAAATACGGTATGTATCTTCTATCGTTGGTGTGCACCAGGTTTCCTGAGACTGGTGAGTTCCAGAGGGAATTAGCCAACAGGCAGGCTAACATTTGTTCCTACAGTCACCCACAAGCACCTCAGTGTCAGTCTCAGTTGCCATGGTTACCTGTGAAATACCACCGATTAGCTGGCGGTTTGTTTTGAATATGTATGGCAAAAGGTTGTGCAGGAGGCGGGGTAAGATCCAGAAACACCTGAGCACATTTCTAAGATGGATGTCATTTATAAAGCAGGGATTGTGTGCAGCTCTGCATAAGCAGTGTTATAGGTTGGAAAATGAGTTTGCGTAAGTCTCTTTTTTTTTAGCTTAAGCAGTGTTATAGTAAGGATTCTACACTAGTTTCACAAATGAGACCCCTGATCTGTAATACCTGGTGGAACAAAGTGTGTTGCATGACCTAATGGCACTTCAGATGGAATATCAATGTGAAATCCACCAGATTTGTCTCAAAGTGTGACAGATGCACAACTTCTCTTGTTGTGATGAATGCAAGGAGCTCAAGCCAAGGTCCAAAGGCTGTTGCGGGAGCCTCATTTATTCAGAAGGTATTGAAATTTTAGTGCAAACTGATTCAGAGTCTGTTGGCCACCTGTTGACGATCTGACCCAGGGGTGCAGTAGAAGCCAACATCTTTTGAACAACCTGAGCAGAGATTCTCTTTATTAACCATCAGTGAGCAAATTACTTTTTTACGTGGGTGTGTTTGGCCCCTGTACAGGCTTTCTGTGAATAATTTGATTACCATAAATCCTCTAATGTTGGCCTGTATTCAATTAACAGCCGGGTATCATATTTTTGGCCGGTGTCGGAGTCGGCGGAGGTGAATAATGGCCGGTCTCTTATTGTGGCCGGGGGGAATGTGGTAACAACCAAGTACGGGGGGTGGTTGTGTCATCCGTCTCACTTTTGATTTGCCAGTGATAGACCGCGAGGGTAACTTTAACCGTGCGGAGACGAAGAGGAGGCGAAAATTTGATATGAAGTACAAAGAGAATGTGCGCTGCAGAACACTGGGGAGCAATAGGGGTTGTATGAACTAGTCGACTTCACTATAGTGACTTTTTATGCCTGTCATCGACTAGTCGCTGTCACGTGATAATGACCGACAAGATGCAGCCCTCGGAAAAGACAGCAGCCTGCTGTCAGCAGGTGACAAGCTCCTGCGCATCGGGGGAGCAACGCGTTGTGCCAGAGCGTCGGTACTGACACGCCATCGTTCATGTCGGTTCATTTCCTTTAATGTTTTCTGTCTTTTATTTGCGCCTGAAGCGTTTCGCAGCTGTGGAGCGGGGCACATCACCTTGTCCTCCTGTGACGCACCGATCACTGATGCGGCCGCCAAGCAGCGAGCACTCCGCTGTTTTTGCGGTCGGTAGATCTTTTAGAACTGCAGTTCAAAGGTAACTCATAAGGTGAATATATATGAAGCCAGGTAGCAGTTTCTCTTTAGGATTGAGAGGAGATGCAGGAAGATAATAAACAGGCAGGACAGAAAAATAGTCAAATAAAAACAAGTTAGTTTTTGTACCTGGTGGTTGCAACAAACAGACACCATTGAAGGTAATCAGAAGTGAGGAACAGAAAATGAAATAATTATTTTAATGTTTAGAGCAGCAGGAACTCCGAGAGGCTGCAGGCGCATCAGTGAGTTTACGGCCTCTGCGCAGGGGGAGGGGGGAGAGGGCTGAAGCAGAAACTACCGTTGTTGAAAGAAATGCGTTTAACTTTGAAAATGTGGGCGCAATTTTAATTGTCAAAAACTCCAGCGAACCATTAGTTCATTTTGCTCAAATAGAAATTGAGGCCTGCCTCTAATTCTGGCCCTCCTTCTTCCAGTAAAGGCCTGGAGCTTGATGAGCTTGAGTCAAATACAGGCCCGGGCCTGTATTAGAGGATTTAAGGTATCTCAAAGATTATGGTCCTGTATGAAGCCACATTGATAGACGTGCCAAGCCATGGAATCCCCAAACACACGCAGTCAGATGGTGTATCACCAACTCACATTTGTTACAAATATCGCTGGGTTTGGCCAGCAAGTGTTTACCCCCAAAATTCTAAGATTTTCACATCTAGATTTCAAAAGAAGGATAAAAAAAGTCACAAATGCCGTTCCAGGAATACACAATTGTGTCATTTTGTTGCTGTAATTT